CTTCAGTTTCCTTGCTTGTAAGATGGTAAAGAACAGTAAGGACACCGTGCACCTTGCAAGGGTTCAAGGATACACGTGCAAAGTGCCCCCCAAGCCCCGAGTGCACACCCCTCTCTTTCTGGTTTCCCTCTGGAGTCAGGACAGCCCCTCATGCCTTGCTGCCCTGCCAGGTGGTGCGGTACGAGGCGGGCTACGTGGTGTGTGCTGTGATCGCCGGCCTCTACCTCCTGGTGGTGCCCATCACTGGGCTCTGTTTCTGTTGTTGCCGCTGTCGCCGGCGCTGTGGAGGCCGAGTGAAGATGGAGCACAAGGCCATGGCCTGCCAGCGAGGCATCCTCATGGTCTTCCTGCTGCTGACTACCCTCGTGCTGCTGTGAGGGGCACCGACGTCAGGTGGGAGGTGTGGGCCGAGGCCCGAGATGCCCACGGGCATCCAGCCAGCCCCATTCTCCTCCCCCATCCCCGCAGGATCGGCATGGTCTGTGCCTTCGTCACCAACCAGCGCACGCATGAGCAGATGGGCCCCAGTGCCGAGGCCGTGCCGGAAGTTCTGCTCAGCCTCCGCGGACTGGTCTCTGATGTCCCTCAGGTGAGCACCAACTAACCCCTTGTGCCCCACTAAGCGCCAGGCCTAGGCAGGACAGGGCAGGGTGGGTCCTGCAAGTAACCCCATAGCCTACAAGTGAGAAAGGATGCCCCCTCCAGCATGCACCTGACTGCCCTCTACTGGAGAGTCACTGTAATCCATAAATGCACCCATGGTGTCCTGAGGATGGATGCCCAGTGGTTTCGGGGATCAGGAAGGGCTGGGGAAGGGATGGGGCTGGGGCTGTCGGGTCACTGGAAGAGCAGCCGCGCGGCCCTGTGTTTGCCTAGGAGCTGCAGGCAGTGGCACAGCAGTTTTCCCTTCCTCAGAAGCGAGTCTTGGAGGAACTGGATGGTGAGGGTTCCAGCTAGCAGGTTGGCTAGACCCAGGGGCCCCCTCATCCCCTCATCCCAGGCTCCACCTGGGAACACCCTCACAGAGGCGGAGGTTGGGCCCAGCCGAGCAGCACAGCAGCCACTCTGCTGCAGGACCACCCTGTGGAGCCCGGGGCGGGCGGGCTGGCCGGGTTGGGGGCCCTAGGCTTCTGGGGGCCAGCTCTGCAGACTGCTCTGTGCTCTCCAGGTGTCGGCATGAGTATTGGGAACACGATCCACACCCAGCTCAAGAGCACGGTGTATGAGGTGCTGGCCTCAGTGCTCAGCCTGGGCCAAGGTGGGTGTCTCTTGGGGGCAGGCCCACCCCTGGCCAGCCCTGCATTTCCGATGCCACCTCAGTAGGCCCCACCCCGACTTTCCCACACCTTTATCCTAGGATCCCTTCTGGCATTCCTGCCCACTCCTGGCTTAACGTGCCCTGGGGCAGTTTCCATTATAACTACAGAGGTTAACAACTGCTTGTCCCTTAGGTTGGGAGTGGGGGGAAATGTTTTGTTTCCCACAAGGCCTCCAAGGATGCTGGTAGCAGTGGAGACTGCTCAATCCAGGTGTCCGTCTCTCAGCCCTGCAGGTCTCCGTGGACCACCTCCGAGCCCTGAATGCCACCTCCGTGGAGCTGCGGAAGGGGCAGCAGGCCCTGGGGCCGGCTGTCCGGGGGCACCAGGAGCGCCTCCTGGCCCTGCTGCAGGAGTCCAGCTGCCAGGGCTGCGCAGAGGCCCTCAACAGGACTCGTGCGCTGAAGCTGGGAGCCGACTTCAGCCAGGTGCAGGCCCAGGACGGAGGCCTCTTGGAGGAAAGCGGGCTGCTCCGCCTGCTGCTCCAGGAACCCCTGGGCAGCCTGTATTCTGGACTCCTGACCTCTTTCCCAGGGCTGCCCCTCCAGTCTCCACGCACCCAGGGTTAATGATGGTCACCCTGGCAGTGGGGCAAGAACTTTCCTGGGCCACGTGCTGTGCCGTGAGCCTCACAAGGATTAGGTTCTTGAGTTCTCCCTGCCACCCAGGGCTGTCAGGTCCTGTGGTGGTCCCCATCTTGCACACAAGGACACTGAGGGTTCAAAGGCCTCTTTCCTCCGTCCTCCCCCAGGGACTCCTCACAGTCCTCTCCGTGGGCTTTGTCATAATACCCACCCCAAACCATTTCAGATGCCCCCAGTGGACAACGTCCTGCATCGGCTGAAAGATGTCCCAGAGGCTAACTTCTCCAGCATGGTCCAGGAGGTGAGTCCTGCCCTGGTCTATCTGACTCCTCCCCCACTTGCCTGGGAATTCAAAATTGAGAGGCCTCGGTTTCCTCCTTTTGGGGTGGGAGCCCAGTTGAACCCAAGACTTGGGTCAAAGTAGGGCCTCACCTACCACATGGTGCCCCGGGCTGGAGGCTTGTGATGTTGGTCCTTGAGTGCACACAGTCTGGTGGGGGAGGCAGGCCTGGAGCTCAGAAGGAAGAGCTAGGACCCTCACGGGGTGGGGGGCTGGGGATGGCAAGGGAATGAGCGCACAAGCTGAGCCGCAGAGGACAGGCAGGCTCTCCTGGGTGGAGACAGGCTGTGGGGGAGGGTGCAGTGTGAGTCAACACCTGTGACCCAGGGCCTGGAAAATGCCGGGGTTGGGGAAGCGATGAGTCAGCTGTGCTGGTGACCGAAGCAGAGGTTCCAGGAAGTGGGAGCTGAGGCTGGACGAATAGGTTGGAGCTGGACTTCAGGAAAACAGACCTGACGGCCATAGGCAGGATGGCTGGGAATCTACCGCATTCACGAGTCTAGGCAGGAGGGCCAGGGACAGAAAGGAGCAACGTCTAGGGGCTGAGTCAGGCTGGGCCGAGGGAGGGGAGAAGGCATTGACCAAGAGAGCAAAGGGAAGCCTGTTTCCTGATTTCCTGGGCTGGGAGCACGAGGTGGGATGCTCTCCCTTTGGACCTAGCTGGGATGTCTCGGGTGGAGAGCAGCAGGCACAGCCACATTTGGGGTTCCCACAGGAGAACAGTACCTTCAATGCCCTCCCGCTCTTGGCTGCCTTGCAGACGGCTGACGTGGTCAGAGGTAAGGGCGAGCCCAGGGGCCCGGCTGGCTGCCCAGGATGCCCCCCACCCCACTCCTCCCAAAGAGGCTTGTTGAGAGAGGCGTGGGGCAGTGGGGTGGGGGAGGGTGAAGGCCATCTTCTCGGCCGGGCCTTGACAGAGAGTGGGCCAGCTCTGCGTGTCCCAGCTATTCTTCCTGCCCATCCGTCTCCTCCCTGGGCCCCGGGATGTCTTCCCCATCCCATAAGCCCCTGCTGCTTTGGGCAGAGCTGAAGAAGGTGGTGGCCCAGCAGCCTAGAGGGCTGAGGACACTGGTTGAAGCATTCCCGGGCTGGGAGGCGGCTTCTCGCTGGAGCCAGGCACTGGAGAAGGCGGAACAGGGCAGCCGCCCCTACCTGAAGGAGGTGCAGAGATACGAGAAATACAGGTGCCTGGGAATGCGTGGGGGTGGGATGGGATGGGCACCTCAGCTTCTCAGCCACCCGGGGCCCAGTTTCCAGACCTCCTCAACCCTGCTAGTACTGAGTCCCTGCCTCCATTGAAACCAAGACCCCATACTCCTTGGGCCTCCATGTCCCCACCTTGGCTGTGTGCCCTTGGGATCTAAACCTGGGGACCCCACTGGAACAGTGGGGCCTCAGGAAGTGTCTGCACCCACACTTCTAAAGCCCCCGCATTGGAGTGAGTGGCCCCACCCAGCCTCTAGGTCCTCCACCAGCCCGTCCTCCCTTTCACTGACACCCCACCTTCTCTGCGGCAGGTGGACTGTGGGCTGCGTGCTGTGCTCCGTAGTCCTGCTTGTGGTGGTCTGCAACCTGCTGGGCCTCAACCTGGGGATCTGGGGGCTCTCTGCCAGGGAGGACCCTGGCCACTCAGAAGCCAAGGGCGAGGCTGGAGCCCGCTTCCTCATGATGTAAGAAGCGCTGGGGAGAGGGAAGGGTCCCTCCCCCAGGCTGGTAACTTTCTCTCATGCCCTGGACAGCTCCTGGTGTGGCTGTGGGAGCAAGTCCTGGGAATGAAGGGCCAGTTTTAGTTCTGGCTCTGAACTAACTTGCTGGGTGGCCCCAGGCAAATTACAATCCTCAGTGTCCTCATTTGTATGAAAGGGTTGGCCTAGAGCAGGAATGGCAAATAAAAAGCATTTCCCCTTTCCCACACCGGTGGCAACTACAGTAATCAATGGCACCCTTTCCCACTGAACCCAGATACAGCCTCAGAATCCTTAACCCAGCTTCTAGGCAACACCACTAATAGGAGGTGGCACCAGAGGTAGAATCTGTTTACCATCCTTGGACTAGATAGTGTCTAAGGCCAGGGCTGCCACATTCAGTTGTGCAGGCTGGTCACTGCATAAGGGTGCCTAGCTAAAGAGGTGAGTGAAACCCAGCCCATGTTTCACTCTTCAGGCCTCCTCTGACCTGGGGCTGTGCCTGTCTCACAAGGAAGCCCTGGTCAGCAACACAGGTCCTTCTCAGGTGCTGTAGGTTGGTGCCCCTGCTGGTGGATCACGGCTGGCTGTGCTAGGTGGTCTGCTGAGGCTGGGCTCTGGAGCTGATCACTTCCGTGTGCCTTGGACCCAGAGTCCAGCAGTCCTGGCTCCTTGAGTAAAACAGCTGCCCTCTCCTCCAGGTTCCCAGGGCAGCCAGGGCACCACATCCACCAGTGGGCACGAGGAGAGGATGAGTTGGGGACAGTCAGCAGTTCTGAGTCCTCTCTTCTGTCCTGGAGGCTGAGTCCTCTGAGCTTCTCTCCCCAGAGGGCTCAGCCCTGGGGCCAACTCACTGACCATACTTGCCCTGGGGTATGGGTGGGAACAGAGCATCTTGCCTGTCCCCGTCTCAACCCTGTCCCCCTGCCTTCCCCAGGGGTGTGGGTTTCAGCTTCCTCTTCGCCGCACCCCTCATCCTCCTCGTCTTCACCACCTTCCTGGTGGGCGGCAACGTGCAGACACTGGTGTGCCGGAGCTGGGAGAGCAGAAAGCTCTACGAGGTGGGCCTGCCTTACTCCAGGGCCCAGAGGGATGTGGAGAGAGACGTGGGCAGAGCAAGAGGTTTAGAAGGAAGTGGGAGCCGGAGGGGGCAAGAGGGAGAGAGGGGCAGGAAGAATGGTAGATTCGGCTAAGGAAAGAGAAAACCAATGATAAATAAGGGGTGAGAGAAAAGAGCCAGTGAGCCCCTGGGATGCTGCCCAGGCCCTGGGACAGGGACCCCATGGGATGGTACCCAGACCTGAGCCCCTCTGCTCTCCTAACACTGAGTCTGGGAGCTGGGGATCCTGGTCCCCTATTGCATCAAGGAGGTGAGCCAAGTTGCTGGCATGGATCCTCTGCTGAAGACCAGAGGATCCAGGCCACCTTCCCAGAAATTTGTGGGGCAAGTCCCTGCCAGGAGTTAGGACCCAGGAGTGATTTGAGTTAGAGGCAGATTTGGGCTGGAGTCACAGGGCTGTGGTCTCTGCCGTGACAATAGTGTGGGACTAGGCCCTGCGGAGCTGGGGTGGCCTTGCCCCCAGACTCCCCGCTCTGGGCCCATTCCTCCCTTGCCCCATCTCTAGTTTGCAGACACCCCAGGGAACTTGCCCTCGTCCATGAACCTGTCCCAGCTTCTTGGCCTGAAGAAGAACATCAGCATCCTCCTGGCCTATCAGTGAGCAGGAAGCCTGGGCTGGGAGTGGTGAGGGGGAGCTGAGGGGAGTGTCCCATTAGGGCGATGGCAACCCCCATCTGCCCTCCCTTTCTCTCATCTTCGATGCCCGTTGTTCTCCTCCAGACAGTGCAAGCAAGGGGCTGCACTCTGGAAAGTCCTGCAGCTCAATGACTCCTACGACCTGGAGAAGCACCTGGATATCAGCCAGGTAAGAGAACCTTCTGGAATACTGTGGGGACCCCTCCTGCAGATCCTCCCTCTTGGTCTTGCCTTTGTGGAGGGACCGTCTCCTTGAACCTAAGAAGTCTGCAAGAGCGACTGCGGTGCCTCAGGGGCAGGGGACCCAGGTGCAAGCTCAGGGCCTGGTCCAAGGCTAGAGCCCTGGGAAGGTTCCAGGGTGTGTGGGTGGGTGCATGAGTGCCTGGAGGCTATGGCCAGCTCTGAGCACCATGCTCCTGGAGAAACAGAACACAGATGAGGACAGGATGGTGACAGTGAGAGGGCTAGGGTGTGTGTGTCCTGACTGAGGACAGGCATTGGTTAGGATGCTCCAGTTGGGAATGGGGAGGATGGGGAGGGATGTGACAGTGAAAATGATGGTGGTGAAGTTGGGTACCACTGGAGGAGGGCTCACCACAGCCCCTTCTGAGCTCACACTGCCAGTAAGTGGTGTCAGGATTTCCACCTCCCCTTGACCACCACCAGCCTGTTCCCTCATCTCTGGGCTTTGCCAGAACTTGGCATGTAGAATTGGAGAAACTTACCCATACTGGCAAGAAACAGTTCTAGGACAAAGAGAATGAAGAGCTACTTCAAAAGAGGAGATGTACTTTGAAATGTGGGTCTCTTAATGGTGTACAGAAGTTGTAAAACGCCCCTTCTTTCCTCTCTCCACCCCTAAGTGAGGTGGGAGGAGAGCTGCCTTGACTCCGAGGGTTCCCGGGGAGCCCTCTCCAAGCATATCCTGGGAAGACTCACATTTCTCCCACCTGCCTCTCCCCCATCCCCTCCTACAGTGCTAACTCCTGATTCTGCATCCTCTCCAGGATCCTTCCAACTCCTTTGAGTCCACCACCCATTCCTAGCCCACAGGATAGTATGGCCAGGTAGTCCAGATTTCAGTCCCAACTCCATGCCTTAAATTGTCTAACCTGGGACAGCTTCCATAATGCCTTAGCCACCGCCTCTTTCAGTGTCTCTAACCAGGTGAGAGATCCACTGAGCAGGCAGTATCCTGGTGGAGGCCACAGGGTGAAGGCGGGCCAGGGAGGGCTGTGGCAGCGGGCCTGGGCAGAGGAGGCCCTGTGCCCTGGTAGCTGGAAGGGGGGAGGGCTCTCCGCCCTGGTCCAGGGAGGAGTGGGGTCTGAAGAGATAGGGCTTCAGGTCCAGAGGCACTGGGCCATCCTTGGGGCCATCTGGCAACATACTAAATGTGACTTTAGGAGAACTTGTCCTCAAAGGAGATAATAATGAGCTGATGGTGCAGAGATAAGGAAGACAAAGTGTGCTTTCCAGGGCACGAGGAGGACTCTGCCCACCTTCAGACATCTCCTGTACCTGGTGCTTGAAACGCTGCCCTGAAATCCCCACCTCTGAGAAGCTAAGCCTTTTCTCCCCCTGGGGAAGGCGGTGTGGTGGATGGGGGAGGTGAGCAGAGCAGGGCTCCATCCTCCAGTGCTCTTCTCTGGCTTCAGCCTCTTGTCCACTAAATATTAGGCTGAATTTCATGCCCTTCAAATCTCTCCCAGCAATGGTTGGAAATGTGGAGTCCCTTTTTAAACTGTGCTCTGTCTTAGAAATGTGAGTGTGTCCATTCATTCATTCATTCATTCATTTTTACACATTCAGCAAACTTGTACTGTACCTGCCGTGTGTGAGCCTCTGCTCCAGACATTGCAGGTCTGGTACAGAGTGGGCAGACAAGGTGCCACTCTCAGGGAGCTGATGGCAATAAACAAGTACCCAAATAAGTAAATAGCATACAGGTGGAGACTGTACTATTGGTGATGTGATAAAGATGGGCCAGGAAGCTATTTTGTATCCTCCCAGGGAAAGTCTGCGTTGCTGTCCAGTAGCCAGAGGAGAGCTGGGTCTTGGTAGGGGGAGTTGGAGTTGGGGATGGTGGGTTGGGAGCAGAGGCCTGCTGGGAACCTCTCTGGGGTTGGGACTGTCCAGGGGAAGGGCCCTGGGTATCCAGGAGGAGGGCCCTGAGGGCCTGGTGACCCCTCACCTGGGATAGCAGCTCTGGGGGCCTGGATCAGACACTGAGTGCGCCCCTACCCTGCCCTTTCTTTCCCAGTACACCACCAAGCTGCAGCAGGAGCTGCAGAAACTCAAAGTGGACGTGAAGAATCTGGACCTGCTGAGCCCAGCTGCCCGCCAGGACCTGGAGGCCCTGCAGAGCAGTGGGCTTGAGAACATCCCCTACCCTGGTTTCCTTGTCGAGGTCAGCAGTGGGCACCTCAGGCCAGATTAGAGAACAGAGGGGCCCGCAGAGGGGGTGGGGGTGTCTTGCCTTGTCTCGGCCCTCCGCCTTCCCTCAACTCCTCCGCATGTCCGTGGGGCCTCTTCTGTTGGGGGTGCCCCCAGATCTTGGGCCCCAGGGTGCCCCAACCCAACAGCATGTGTCACTGTTCATGGTCCTGAATCCAGTGCTGTGGCGAATACTGGTGGGAAGCGGCCTCTCTTTGGGTTACACCAGAGGACGCCTCATTTTTTTTTCCTAATGGAAAATGTTTCATATTTCACAATTTCAGGTCAAACCCAGTGTGACTGATGTGTCACAATAGACTTAGCTGGTGTGGGTACTTTAGAAAAGACTGAGAATCAGGGGCTGGAGGGACCAGGGATCAGCCCCTCTTGGCCTCTTCTGTCCATCTCTAGATCCAGAAGCCTGTGGTGAACACCAGCATGGAGAAGCTGGCGCAGGAGCTGGAAGGACTGTCCCAGACCCAGGTGAGATGGGAGCGGAGACCCCACTGGGCAGGCAGGAATCAGAGGCCTGGGAGAGGGGAGAGGGTAGGGGTGCCTGGACTGGGGAGGGGTGAGGGCAAAGACAGGATTGATGGCCCCCACCAGTGAGGGCTGAGGCTCTGGACCCCTGAATGGGATGAAGCGTTTTACAGCACCGGTTCTGACTCAAGCTCTACCATTGGCTGTGCGGCCTTGGTTCCACATCTCTGGGCCTTGGTATCTTCATCTGTAAAGTGGATTATCCTCCACCTCAGATCAGTTGCGGTAACGGGTCTGACATCACACAGCTGGGCAAGCACTTCTCAGCTTGTACACCGACCGCTTGTAGGATCCACCAGGCCGGATGCTGTGAGGACAGCCTGGTGGATCAGATAGCGTGACAGTTGCCCTCTGGAAGCTTACGCTCTGCTGGAAGAAACAGCATTTTGTATTTATAAATATTGAGAGTTTAAAAAGTTGTCTCAAGATGTCTCATAGATCCCCCCCACCCCGGCTCCAAGAAGGGCGGAGCAAGGAGAATTCCTCGGTTTCAGCGGCTGCTTGGCTGACGTAGGGGCACCTAGCAAGCCAGGGCTGGACCTGGAACTTGGGCTCAGGCCCCCAAACCCAGATCTGGCCCAGGACTACAGGAGGCCTCGGGTCTCTGCCTCTGAGCCCATTTCCCACTTCCCAGCAGTATGTCTGGGTGAACAGTTCAGTAGAGGACACGTTGGCAGAAACTGCCTGGCCCGGACTGGTACCATGCTGATCTGTCTCCCCTCAGGGCAATTCTATGCTGGGGCAGCAACTGCAGAAGGAGGCCCAAGGGCTCAGAAGCCTCCATCAGGAGAAGGTCCTCCCCCAGCAGAGCCTCGTGGTAAGTTTGGAGGCCCAGGAAGCCTGGGCCTGGGGAGGAAAGGCAGGGAGGGGGGCTGGAAGCAGACGGGGGCACTCAGAACCCTCCCTAACCATCCCCTTCTCTAAGCAGCCCTTATCTCTTTTTTACAGGCCAAGCTCAACTTCAGTGTCAGGGCCCTGGCATCCTCTGCCCCATATCTCCAGGTGGCCGCTTGGGGTGGATAGGGTGGGTGGGGTGGAGCAGGTGCACAGCAGAGGGAGGAAGGAAGGGCAGGCCCAATTGGCTTGGGACCACACCTGCTCTGCCTGGTCCCACTGGAGCTTGAGGTTGGGGTGGGGAGAAATGAGGGTGGTGGGCAGATCCTTGAGGACCCCCATCTTTGGCCTCTGTGTCTTTAGGGCCTGTGACCCTCCACCCCAAGGTGAGCAGGTTGTGCGTAGTCTGTTGAGTTAATGAATGGATGAGTGAATGAGTGGCCGATCCCTGACTGAGCCCCTCCCTTCTCCCCTAGCTGGAGACTTCAGGTGTCCTGGACAATGTCACTCACCTGAAAGGAGAGCTGCCTGCCTGGGCCACCAGCATCCTGAAGAATGTGAGTGGGGGGTAGGGCAGGGGGCGGGGGACTGCCTCAGAGCCAGAGGTGAGTTGAGGGGTCGGGGCACATGGGGCTCCCACTCCAGGCTTCTCCAGCCCTGCCCCATCACTGTGGCTCCCAGGAATGCCAGCTCGGCTGGTCCTGGTGGTGCCTGGCATGGGGGGCAGGGGTGCTGGTCCTGGGGCTCCTACCAGCCCAGGGCCCCTCTCTTCCTGCAGGAGAGTGAGTGTTTCCTGACCCGGGAGGTGGACTACTTCTCCCAGTACGTGGCCTGGGTGAGGGAGGAGGTGAGTGGGGGCTCAGGCCCTCCTGGCCGCAGGCAGGCGCCTAGGGCACCAGCTGTTCACCCTCCTCTGCTCCCTAGAACCCCTGGGAGGTGCCCTGGGCCTCCAGGATTGAACCCCAACTCCCAAACCCAGCATCTGTGACCCTATTCGCTGGCTGGATTCTGCCCACCCGACTTCTGCCGCAGCCCGTCTCTGAGGCCCGAGTGGGGGCTGGGCTGGTCGTGGCTCTCTAACAATGCGCTGTCCACACCTTGCCCCCTGTCCTTCCTTATGCTGGTCCCCTTGCCCGGCCTGTCTGAGGCCACCCCAGCCCTCAAAGTTCACCCGCTCCTGTGGGCCCTTACAGACCGCAGCCTCTGTGGACTGTATGCCACCCACATTAGGATGGCAGGGGTCTTGCTTAACCCTGAGTGTGTGTGCACACGTGTGTGCAATGCATTGTGTGTATGGGCACACACACGTGTTGCCTCCCAGTGAGAGTGTGACTTAGAGGACAGCTCTGGGCGCACAGTAGGGGCTTCATACAGGCTGGTGAGTTGGGTGGGAAGGGGAGGAGGTAAGCCATGAGCCTAGTCAGTGCATCCTCACCTCTCTGTATTCCCACATCCACGTCTCTGCATACCCCTGTGCAGTGGCTCCCCACTATGTCCTTGGGCCTATCCACGTCCCTGTCAACCTCTCTCTGAATAAGGGGTTTACAGCTGTGGGTCTGAGTGTCTCTGCCTGTACCTACCTCATTTGATATGACAGGTGACCCAGCACATTGCCACCTGCCAGCCCCTCTCCGGAGCCCTGGACAATGGCCGAGTGATATTGTGTGACATGGTGGCCGACCCCTGGGTGAGTGCCCCCCAGCTCATCAGGGCTCATGGACATCAGGGCTCCCATGGGAGGGGTAGTGTGGACAGGGCATGGGGGCTGCACCCTAGTCCTTCCCCTCAGCTCTGAGAATGCCTCCCCCTGTCCCTCTGGGTCAGTGAGGAGACCCGGGGGGCGGGGCGGGAAGATGCTGCTGCCCCACCACGGTGCGCTGATCTCACACTCCCTATTCCAGAATGCCTTCTGGTTCTGCCTGGCGGGCTGCACCTTCTTCCTGATCCCCAGCATCATCTTTGCTGTCAAGACCTCCAAATACTTTCGTCCCATCCGGAAACGCCTCAGGTGAGGAGGCTGCCAGGACTGCAGGGGGCAGCAGGGGCCCAGGAAGGAGTCCTGGCACCCTGCTACATGCCCTCCGGAGACCTCTAGGCAGGGGAGGATTATGCCTAACCCTGAAAAGTTCATCCATGTGTCTGCCCCAAATCCTTCTTACTGCAACACATCCACCAGACGTAGCTTTGGGAAACTTCCTACCCCTGGAGAGCTTCTGAGGCGAGAAATCCCAGGCTCTGGGTTTGTTCCTGTGTCAGGGCTGAGGGTCTGTGCCCAGGGGCTCACTCACTCACTTCCTGTGATGCCGCAGCTCCACCAGCTCTGAGGAGACTCAGCTCTTCCACATCCCCCGGGTCACCTCCCTGAAGCTGTAGGACCCCAGTGGGTGAGTTTCCCCACCCTCTTTAATTCCTGGGTGCCAGGGGTGGAGATGGGAAGGAAAGGGTTTGGGATCTGGGGTCTCCAGGGCACAGGAGGGCAGGAAGGTTCTGAGACTTGGCCAGGACCGACAGGTCTGAGCTCGGCTCCTCCCTCCTTCCCCCATTTGGTTCTTGATCCAGAACAGGGATATTTGCTGCAAAGTGATGCCTGGGGCTGCCTGCCTCCCCCACTGACTTGACCTGGACCAAAAGACTTCTGTCGCTTTTGCTGTCAGAGCCCAGGCTGGCATCCAGGCCTGGACTGTCCCCAACTCCAGTGACCTGACCCCATCTTGCTGCTCCCTTTGCACCCCCTTTCTGCTCCTGACCTCCTTCATTCATTCTCAAAAACACACTTCTGCTGAACTGCAGAGCCAACAGGTTCTGCTAGATGTCTATCCCTTATCCTCCTTGCTGTAGTCTATCAGCACCAGGTAGAGCCTGTTCTCCACCTACTGGAACCCTCAGCCCCTTAGATGGAACAGAGGCCCTGCCCAACCCCACTCTGTCCCATCTGCCCACCCCCTGCCCACACCTCCCCCGTGCCTCTCTAACCTCCTTGCCCCTTTTCCTCATCTTGGCCTCCCCAGCCCTTACATCTTCCCCCTGGGGAAGTCCCTTGTCCCTCTTTGTCCCCTCTTTACCTTATCCCACTACCTGCTGGCCCCCACAGAGCCCTTCTGCCCAACCAAACTAATCAGGTGAAGCCACCAAACAGGCCAGGGGCCATTGTGGCCTGGGCCTGGGCTGGCTGCAGGCTCTGCCTCATGCACCCCAAGCCCTCCACTGCTTGGGGACCGGGACCCTCCACAGGCCCGGGTCTAGACTTCTGGTCCCTGGTGGGTGAGGGAGGCCTAAGTGAAGCCTGAGCCCCCGCCTGCACCTTGGGTTGGAAACCACACTGCTGCCCCTCAGCTCCTCTCTGAGCCCTGGCTCCCTAGGAAGGGACCTGGGGCATGGGCTGGAGCAGGGTGTCCCCCTCAGCTCCCCAGAAGCAAGCCTCTTCAGCAGCGCCACCCAGCTTTCCCAGGAGAGATGCAGTGGCCACAACAGGATTTTGCACTGTGGCCCTCACTCCTATCCTATGTGCGTGGCCTAGGGTCATCCCTGGTCTATCCCTGTGCCCTGTCTCCATGCCGGACCCTGAGTTCCAGAAATGGGAAAGAGGAGGAGAGAGAGGAGACGGAAGGACCTCACATCCATTAAAGTGTTCTCACTTGGCTAAGTCTTGGCCTTGGGTCTTTTAGCTCTTCCAGGCTAGGGCCCTGGATGTGGTTGGTGTTAAATGAGTGTGGAGAGGAGAATCCCAGGCCTCCTCTAACCGTAGGCACCCAGTGACACCCCAGCAACCTGCAGGTGGGGAGTGGGGCCCACTCTGGGAGAAGGAAGACTGGGGTTCACATCCTGGCTCTAATGCTTGGTAACCAGGGCACCTTGAAGAGTTTCTTGGGTCCCCTAGACCTCTTCATCTGTAAAATAGGGAGAATAGTTATAGCCACATCAGAGGGTTGTGAAAAATGTGACAGTGTTTGGAAATCCTTTGGCAGGGGCTGGCACGAAACAAATGCTCAGATGCCGCTCTTTTTATTTCCTCCATGACTATTCTGAGCAGAGCTGGGTCTGGGCAGATACAGGGGAAGAAGGAGATGGATCCCTGTTCAAAGGCACAAAGCCTTTTAAGATTATATGAATTTGAATTTCAGGGGGTATCTATGTTTAATTGCATCTTACAAACCAGCAACAAATTTGCTGCTAAAATTAGGATGGTGCCTACACAATGTGTTGTCACCATTGCAAGTACTCTCAGACAGGCATCCTTGAACGTAGTACAGTCGCCTCTTTTTGGCTTTTCCCAGAGAAATTTTGACTTGCTTTTCATCGGATGCCCTGTGTGGGGAACTATAGCACCCTGCATCTGAAGAATGAAATCAGTGGGATTAAAAACAGAAAACCATTAAAAAATCATTTCCAGTTCTGTATCAGAATTGTCTATCTTATCTTTTATATATTTGAGTGTATTCTGTGTTATTTTAAGTTCAATAATTCCCTAATATGGAGCCTCTGTGAGTCTGTTTCTACTGTCTGTTGTTTCTCTTGGTTTTTTTTAGTTTCGTCTTGTCTCCTTGCACACTTGGCAAAAATTGAGTACCACCCATTTTATCTGAAAACCTATAAAAATAATTTGAGGCTGAGGATGAAGTTATCTTGCTCTGTGAGAATAATGTTTACATCTGACAAATGGCTGGGGATCCTTCAAACCGGGTTGTTTTAATTTACTTTCAGGGACTGAGTGATTTGCAGTCCCTTGGAGCACTTGTCTGTTTCCAGTTCATTCATATTCTGGGGGGGTAAAAACTTCTGTGGACCCAATCAAAGCATGAAGGGTTTGACAGGCACCCTCTGCTCTTGGTGGGCCTAGTTTTGACCTCCTTAGTCCCAGAGGCTGTAAACAGCTCTGCTGAGCATCTTTGCCTTGTCTTCTGGGATCAGCAGACCCGTAGGGAGAAAGTTGCCCCAGATGCCAGGCACATGTCACTGGGTTTCTTTCTTTTCCTAGGTCTTGGCCCTGTGATTTTACTGCCTTGTTTGCTCCCTGACACTCCCAAATCAAACTTAAAAAATGTATGTGTGTGTGTGTTTATTTATTTATTTAAATTTTTAATTTTATTATTATTTTCTTACTGGAGGTCCTGGGGATTGAACCCAGCACCTCCTGCGTGCTAACTGTGCACTCTACCACTGAGCTATACCTACTCCCCCCTAAATATATATATATATATTTTTGAGCAGCTTTTAGTTGTCCTCAGTTGGGAATTTAGTCCAAATTACCTGGCCACCATGATCAGAAGTAATAATCCTAAATCATTAACTGATTTTTTCCCCTGTGACTTGGGAAAGGCTGCCACTCATTGAATTTAATATTCAGAAACCTTGGCCCAGCCAGTTGAACATAGACTTTCATATATATATATTTTTTTTTAATTGAAGTGTAGTCAGTTTACAATGTGTAGATTTCTGGTGTCCAGCGTAACAGTTCAGTCTCACATATACATACATGTATTCGTTTTCATGTTCTTTCTCATTGTAGGTTACTACAAGATCTTGAATATAGTTCCCTGTGCTACACGGTAGAAACTTGTTGTTTATCTTGAACATGGACGTTTCAAAGGAGCTTAGCATGGAAAGCATCACTGTAGGCTCTGGTAACCTGGGGGTGGGGCTGGCGCTCTGCAGGTGACAGAAATATCCACAAAGAGAAATATATTATATTTTCCAGTTTTAAAATGCTGAGATCCTAAGATGCTCATCCTACTTTATGTGTGAAGCAAAGCCCCTTCGTGGTCACAGTGTCATCTGTTCTCATGACATTCCCTGAAGAGGGTGGGATTGTCATCCTTGTCTCATGGTTGGGCAGATAAAGCCCCAAATTGAAGCACTGCCAGGCCTTGTATTCAGATGCCCTAATCGCGGTGGCCGTGGAGGTGTCCTCCTGGGCACACTGCCAGTCCATGCTCCCTGTGGGAGTGTGGGAGGGAGGCTCCGTCTCCAAGGAGGTGTGATCCGAGTGTCCTTGCTGTCCCTGTGGCAGCAGGGGTGACAGATTGGAGGCCCTGGGAATTCTGCCAGCCTGGCCATCCCAGAGCAAAGGCTATGAGCCATGAATGGCAGATTCTGCCAAATGCCACATGGGCCAGGGCATCAGGTCCCAGGTGGCTGCCCAGGGTAGTTCTGGCTGGCTCTGGGTGTGCAAAGGAAGGGCCACATGGCTAGAGGCTGGCTCAGGCTACCTGAGGGGGCAAACAAGGAGCATTTGATTTACTGAGCTCTGAGTATAAACCAGGAAGTGTGCTAGGCCCTTCACACGACCTGACTAAGAGACCAGCACTGAAACTGTGCTAAGCATCTCGGTCTCTGTCTGTCTGTCTGTCTGTCTGTCTCTACCCCCTTGGCCAGGGGCAGGCAGAACCGGGGCCCAAAACGGTCTGGAAAAAAGATACAGACTGGGGACTCCGTGGAGCCAGGTTTGGGATATGTCGTTGAAAAGAATCAATAAACAATCAGTAATAAGAACAGAAAAGAGTTTTATTTGAGCCAAACTGAGGACCAGCCCAGAAGCCCGCTTCCCAGATGACTCCAGGAAACTGCTCTGAAGAAGCAAGGTTTTCAGCACAGTTTTATATCTCGTCAGGGCAAAGAATATGACACGAGTCAGGAATAACTTTCTTCAAGGTTTCAAAAAACAGACCAGCATGAACGGTGCAGTCTTGGCACCTGGGAAGGGAGTCTTATCATCAAAGGAGGACCAGCATTGGCATCCCAGGAGGAGGGGCATTTAATCTTTATTTTTAACATGAACATTCTTTACTTCTGGTTCATGAGCCCTTTTCTTTAGTAATAAAAGCAGATGTGCAAAGTCTGTTTGATAGGCCACAAACAGCCTGTTTGATTAGCATCAAATTCAAGTGAACTCATGTATGAGCCAGAATGACTTCCCTATGCCTCAGTATGTGAAAACGTCTTTCATGTTTACAAAAGTGCCTGAGGAGGAAGGATTTGAACTTGGGTCTAGAGTGGAGAGGATTGTGAAAAGCAGTTGCAGAAGCTCCAGAAGACCCCGAGACTTGGGGGTGGGGCTGGCGCGAGCCCTCACCAAGATGGGATTAGAGTGAAGCCCCCCCAGCTAAGATGCTTGTCACCGCCTCCTCTCAAATGCAGGCCACTTACATGTTGTGACAGAAGGAAACTCAACCTTCCTCCAGGCTTGACATCATCCCTTCCTCCTTCCAAACTCCCTCATCCTCGGGCTCCCCACCGTGAGGAAAACCACAGCTGAAACCCATCAGGCTGTAGAGCTCGTGGCCGACAGGGCAAGGTCCTCCTGCAGCCTTTTTTGGGTCTAATGCACTTGCCAAAGAATCTCTGGAAACTCCCAAACGTTCTCAGGGAGAGTTAGACTCTGCCCACGTGCCCACACCACTGTTGAGCCCGCTGGGGCCCACGTGAGGAGCCGGGCTCTGGAGTGTCCTTGACCTCCACGCTCTCCTGGCCTTTCTCAGTCCTGCATTCCCCACGGCCCTGTGCGGACAAGCCGGAAGTGCTCTAGAAAAGCCCCTGCAGGTGCCAGGGGAGGAAGAGGTCATGGCGGGGCACATCCCTCCATGTGTGTTTTATGCGTGGCACCCCCTTGATGGCAACTGCAGTAGAAGACTCCCCAGGTCTGGAGAGGTAGGCAGTAATTCCTGATTTGTTGCAGCTTTAAGCTTAAATTAACTTGTTAATTTGGAAAAATGCATCTCTGGGTGGTGGAAGTTCAGCCAGTGCACCAAGGTGGGGGGCGTGGGGGGTGCTTCTCTGGTTCTACCTCCGCAGACCAGGACGTAATTGAGGCCAGGCCTGTCCTGGGCGGCATGCTGGCAAGTTTCCAAGTTGTTGTATGGAGCACAGGGAGGTTTGGCAGTGTCTTAGCTACGTGCTCACTTCGGGATGAAAGGAACAGGCTTTCTGTACCTGCTTTGTCACTTTCTAGCCTATGACCTTGGGGAAATCATTTAACTTTTCTGGGTCTCACTTTTGTCATCAGCAGAGATGACCGCACTTCCCTTCCCAAGGCCGCTTTGAGGACCCATCGTGATCAGGGTGTCCCTGCTTGCTCAGAGCCAAGCTCACTAGGTAAAAGGCCTCCCTGGCTCTCGTGGAGCTCCGCCTCTGACCCTGACCTGACAGCTGCGGGGGGCTTGCCCGCACCTCTCCCCAGGGTGCAGCGGTGGGGGGTGGCTCCAGAGTTCACTGAGTCCCTGCCAAGTGTGAGGCCCGGGCAGTTCTGGAAGTCCAGCCAGGCCAGACACCTGGACCACCTCCTGCTCTAGAAATATTCCTCCTCCCTTGGTGGGTCAACAGCTCCAGGCTAATTTTTTCCTCCTAGGATCTGAAGGTTGGAGCTGATTGGCTGGCTCAAACACACACACACACACACACACACACACACACACACACACACACACACGCGCGCGCAAATGGAGAAGGGCCTGCAAGTAAGTGCTCTTGTGCCTGCAGAGGAGGAGGTGTCTCAGGGCTCTGTTGCCATGGGAACCAGTGGCACAGGCTGGCTCCTTCCTGGGGTGCAGAAAAGGGAAACTTGGCTGAGGTTTTGGGCACCTGGCTCCTGGGCGGTTTCCCCAGGGGCTAAGCAAATACCCAGGGGTCTGCCCTCCTGAGCGGCAGGAAGGATTCCCCCTCCCCAGGACGCCCAGGGGCCCTCACCCATTTACTCCACCACCACCCCCAGGAGGTCTGGCCAGGTCCCTCATGTGGTCCCAGCTGCTCAGATGTGGTCCCAGCCTCGGACACAGATAACAAGGACAGAGGACGGGCTGGCTGGAGAGCAGAAGGCGCTCAGGTTTGGGGAGGGCTGCCCCACTGCAAGGCCCTGTTGGGGCAAAAGGAGACAGGTAAGGGTAGGGCACAGATGAAAGAGACTGAAGGACCACGGCCTGTGACCCTTGTGATGCGACCTTGATAGCAGTCGCCATCTCTATGTGATGAGCCCCCATCGGTGGGGCCATTGAGCCCAGAAAGATGTCCCCACCGGGAGGATGCTCCAGACACCAGGGGTGTCTAGAGGTCACCTGCAGAGCGGCTGGCGGGACACCAGGGAGACGGCTCTCCTTGACGGCAATGCCCGAGGTCATCTGGGGTTACTTCACCTGGTGTCCAAAAGGAGGGGCCAGTAGGATGAGGGAGGGGGCAGCAAGGAGGGGCGGGGCTGCCCTGTTCTGGAAAATGCTTTGAGAGGCTCTCCAGGGCTCCAGTGCTGCCCCCTCCCCCTGTTGGGACAGGAAGTTGTGCCGTAGTTCCCCTCCCCCAGCCTAGGCTCTCTGCCACACCCCCCCCGCCCCGCCACCTGTCTCCGTCCCCGAGTGTGTGCGTTAAAGAAAGAGACAGACAGTGGGGGCGGCGCACAGAGAGAGACGGCCAGTGACAAGGGCAGAGGGGAAGAGGGGAGACCCAGAGAGCGGGACTTCAACAGGCTGACACGCAGGGTTAGAAAGCATCCATCAGAGTGCGTGGGACAGGGAGCCGGGGAGAGATGGAAAATATGAGAGAGAGACACACGGAGAGATGCTGAGCGAGGAAGGAGGCAGAGCAGAAGGGGTGGAGCCTAGGGCAGAAGCGTGCGGGGAGGGCGGGTGGGTAGGGGGCGGGCGAGGAGCCGCCAGTGACAATTACGTCTGGGTCCAAGCAAACATGAGGCAGCTGCCAGCCGGACCTGGCAGTCCTGTTCGCCTCCGCTGCGAAGAGGGGAGGCCGGCAACAGTTTCCTCCGGTGCCCAGGATGCAGCGGGCCAAGGTAGGTGCTGGGGTGGGGGTGCTGGGGGCTGCACCAGGACGGGGAGCTTGGGCTTCTGGGGGTTGCCCTGGACCAGGGGACCTTGTTGTGCCTTTTCCTTTGACCCCGTTTCCCTACTTTCCCCTGTAGGGTCGCTTTTCGGAAAAGTAAGTGTTGGGGTGTCTTGGCTGTGAGGCTGGACTCCTGGGGCCCCCTTTGGACGGCAGAGGCTTTAGGTGTTTATGGAACGAAGCTGGATGGAGGAGGAGCTTGGGGTTGCCCACGTGGTTCAGTTAAGCCCCTTGAGCAGGTGCCCGGGTGCTGACCCCGAGCCTGGGCCCACAGCTCTTAGGGCTAGGGAAAAGTTGAGTGCTGGGGTATCTTATGCTTGAAGGCTGGTGGATGAGTGCATCTTTTAATTATTCAAGTAATTAATGAATGTCCACTTCCTAAAGGGCTATGAGAGCCCTGACAAGGACACATGCAGGTGGTTCCCACTCTGTGGGGCTGCTGGGAGGTTGGAGGCAGAGAGTGCAGGGAAAATACCTGGGATAGAGGACAAGAAATGGTGGTGGGGTGTTGGGAAGGATAAAGAATAATTAAATGAAGAATAACAAGGGACAGGAAAATCAACCAACCCCAGGAATATACTCAACTCCCAGAGAATCTGTCCTGATACCTTGCCAGCTCCCCACATATTTGAGACAGTTTTACATTGAAAGGAAGAAAAAAAAAAACACCAGGATTAGATCTGGCTGCTTGTAACAGAGCAGCCCAAATAGCAGTGGTTTGAACAAGGTTGGTTGCATTTCTCTCTCATGCAGAAGTCCTGGAGGGAGGCACTAGAGGGTTGGCATGGAGGCCCTACGGTCAGCAGGGACTAGGCTCCATCTGTCTCAGCGGGGACTCAGGCTCCATCTGTCTCACTGGCTTCCATTCTTGAGGTTACCTTAAAGTCCAAAATGGCTGCCAGAGCTCCAGCCAGCACACACAGGCAGCAGGAAGTAGAAAGAAGGAATGGACAAAAAAAAAAAAAGAAAACAAAACACAACACAAAAAAACACCTCAGATAAAATCAGGGTTTTGTGAATAATGAAGAATGTTTACTGTGCTGGCATCTGAGCTTCTCCCCAACTCCCACCTCCAGAGATGGCTTCCTGTGTCTCTGTCACCCATGAGGAAAAGCAGCACAGAGTGGGCTTGTGGTTGCTGGCTCCAGGCAACTGCCCCAGAGCCCCAGCCCACCCCTTCTCTGTCTGCTCCATCTCTCAGGGGTGCCAGGAGGATTGGCAGAGGTGATGACGTGAAACCCTCTGAGCCTGGGAGAGGGCATGTTAAAAAGGTGCTCTCTCTCTCACCTTAAGTCTCCTCAGCAACCTCCAGGCAGACAGGGCAGAAGTAGAGAAACTTAGCACCTGTCACAGGCTCACACACTGTGCCCCTGCACACACAAGCCCCAGCCAGCATAGTTCACGTGCATCCGCAGGCGTTGGTATGAGCATGCAGTGCACACCTGTGCCCTGTGACTGTGCCCACACTACCCACGCTGCGTGAGTTGCGTGCACACAGAGGGGATTTCTACTGAGTCAGGCTGCATACAGATGTGCCCACAGCCTGCTCTGTCCACCAGGCAGGGGACAGTCCTCCTTCTCTTGCCTTTCCTCTGCTGTCCCTACCTGCCAGGAGGTTACTCCCTGTCCCTGCCAGCTGGGTGGAGTGAGTGACCCAAGTCCCGCAGGTGCATCTTGGCCACTGTGACCCCACACTGGCCTCCACCCTCCCCCACAACCAGTGGATCTCGCTGTGCCTGCCAGGGGCTTTCCTGTGGTTGGCCTGGCCAGAGACTAGGGGGATCCCACATGTGGTGCTGGGCCAGGCAGGGCAGTAGTCCTAGGAAAGCCACCACTGTGTCCCTTACCAAGGTCAGCAGAGGGCTGTGAAAACCACCTTCCTTCCTGGTGACAGCAGGGACTACAATTGAGAGCACAGGCTGGGAGCTGGCCCAACTCTTCCACCCCCAGATGTCTGTCACAGTCGTTTGCAGATCCTCACAATGTCCCGGGGTGGGGGCAAGTATTGCCACTTCCCCTTCTACAGACAAGAGGCTCGGAGAAGGGGAGCGGCTCATCCAGCACAGCACTGGGACTTGAACTCCCTGAGCTCCTAGGAGAAAGGAGCCAACAGAACCCTTGCTCTGCTCCCCGGCCTTCAGGGAGGGACATCTTCATGGCCCAGCATGTTCCCTGGGACCATCTCCCTGCCCAGGTGCCTGCCTTCTTGCAGGGCACTTTTGGGAGGTGGGCCCTAATTTTCTCCCCTATTTCCAAAGATAGTAATCAAAGCCCGGGAGTTGGGATGGGGAGCGAAGGGGCTCTAATAGCTCTGTAGGTGGTAGCCTGGGACAAGGTCAGGGCTGAAGGGGCAGGAGCCCCGAGGTAGCAACCCCTCCCTCCATGGTCTTCCCAACAGGCTCTGCACCTGCATCATCTCCCTGGACCCCCATGCAGCTCCCCAGGCAGCTCTTGGTATTGTACCCACTTTACAGATGAGGAAACTGAGGCCCATTCTAGATTGCAAGCTACGAAATGTAACAGCTGTAATTCGAAGCCTGCTCTGTCTTACTCCAAAACTCAGTTCCCTAGGGCTTAGCGGGTGGAAGGATGGGGAGGTCATGGGAAAAGACTACAGGGAGAGAGGGGCGTGTCTGTAACCAGGCAGCTGAGGAGGTGCTGCAAGCCAGCTAGGGGCTGGCTCCATTGGCTTGTGGCCCACTGTACCCTCTGAACCCTTTAGTGAGTGCACCCAGGTCAGACCCCACCCCTGGCCCTGTCCCCTGGATTAGTCATGTGACCTTGAGCCAGCCATAGCCCTTTTCTGGGCTGGGGATCCATAGCTGCAA